CTGGCATATCCCGTGGATGGTCAGATGAGGAAGGTCACCCACCTAGCTTAGCCAGAGCCTCCCTCCTGGCAATGGATTGGGCAGGTGATGCTTAGTGCCTCAGTTTCCCCACTGCAGAGCAGTCACCAGAGTGTGCCTTTATCCCTTTATCCCTTCTTCTCAGCCAGGCTCATGGACGTCTGTTCTTAAAACTGCTTCCAAAGTCATAAGTGAAGGACTTTCTCCAGCTGTAGTTAAGTTGTGGATTGAGGCTGTAATGGCAGTCTTTGGGTTGCGTTGGTGTCAGGCTGTTCTCTGTTCTGAACATCTCAGAAAGCAAAATATTCATCTGTGGCCGGAGCTGCTCTGTGCACACCTCTGCAGCAGCCAGCACCTGCCTGTGTTATTGCCCAGGTTATCCTATGGGTGCATGTAATGACACAGAGTGGGATGGAGTCACTGCAGCTAGCTGTTACGAGAACAAAAATAAATAGGAGTGTTGTGCACGCCCGGGACCTGAGCTGCAAGTGACTAGCTCATTAACTTTAAATATATCACCTAGCTGCGCTCTGGAGGTCAAATGCAAGAAAAAAAAAGTGTGAATACTTATCAGTCTACGCTCAGCACATCCTCATCTCCATTTAAATGCATGCATCACTCCGGTGCCATGGCAGGATACTTTGCAGGAAGAGGAAGAACCTGGTTATCCTGAGCCTGGCTGGGGTGATGGTTTCTTTAGGAAGCATTCAAGTAAAAGGTCTTTAAAGAAGGATGCTCTGAAAGCAGTGTGAGTTTCTTTTCTGCCTTTGTGTTCAGGCAGTGCAGTCCATATGGACATTTTTTCTTCTCTCTTTTTCTTTAACCTCTCGTGCTGCCGTTCTCCCAGCCCGATAAATATTTCATTGCTCCCTCCAAGGGAGCCACTCCAGCCGGGGACCTTCAGACAGAGCAGTGGCTGAAGTCAGAGGGTCAGGGCTCTCCCGTGGGATGCAGGGCACAGGGGTTCGTGCTCCTGCTCTGCTCAGCATTTAATTAGACCTTCAAGTTAGCAGAGTTCTGGCAGGGCCGTTTGCAGGCGAGCAGTGAAGCTCAGCGAATGGTGGTGACTTGAGTTCTCCTTGGCCTGGAGATCTGATGGCACCACACCAATACCAATGTGGGTTGGGGTTGAAGGTGCAGAGCCCATTTTTCAGAGATTCAGACACCCCTTCCTTGGGGCACTGAGTGCACATCCCCTTCCCTTGGACCATGGCTGGGAGAGAGCTGAATTTCCCAGTCCTATGCTGCTCTCAACTGCTGCTCCATGGTTGTCCTTGGTAGGCGCTGGACCTCAAGGTTCCCCTGGGTGTCAGGATGTTTCCATCTGAACTTACCCCAGGGCCTTTCTGCATCCAGTGAGCCAACACTTAGCACTGCAGCTTTGGTGCAGGTGCTGAGCAGGCAGCAGGTCTGGGTCACCGTGCTTTCGTGCGTGGTCATGGGTGGTCAGAGGGGTTCTAGAGGACCAAAAGAGATTTCTGGGTACCTTCAGGCCTCTCACGGAGTAATTAGCCAGGCTTGCATGATTGCTTCAGGACTGATGGGAGTGCATCTAGTTGCTACTCTTTTCCATTATCACATCTGCCTGCTTTTTTTTTTTTTTTTTGCTGGAATGGTGACGTTGCTTCACAGTGAGCCAACCTTTGTGGGTATCTGGAAGCACTTAGTGCCCAGCCGATGCAAATGGGCTGGTAATGATAAGCAGATCTAATTCATCTCTGACGATGTGACCAGCAATGTTCTGAATCATATTTTTAGTCATGCAAGGTTCAGGCACATGATTGCTAACCCCCTTCTTGCACGGCAGCATTAATGCCAGGATTAAGTGGAAGCACGAGGCAGAAAGAGGAACATTAAGGCATAGCTGTATGTAAATAAGGAAACGGTTTAGGTGGTTTAAAAAGCAAGGTGAAGCTGAGCTCTGGTGTTGTGCCAAGGTCACCCATGTAGTGACATCAGGAGGGAGGCAGCTTGGGGGCCTGCACAGAGAGGGATCAGGACTGCAGCATTGTCACAGTAGCAGCATTCGAGACTTACAGGCTGGGCTATGGGAAGGAACCAGGGAATATGAGAACATCTCTGGCCTGGCATTTTCCTCCTTGCAGCCCTTGAAATCAACCCAAAGTTCATTTCTGAAGAAGCTGCACATCGCTCACTCCGAATATAAACCGCATCTGTAGGCACAGGAAAGCCAAACATGGGGTGTGCGCGGGGTTTGATTTGCCTCCAATGCAGACCCTGGAACAGATGCTCCGTGTGTGCATCGCACATCAGCTCGTAGTGCACTGTGTGACTGCGACTTGAGGGGGAGGAGAGCATCTATTGCGTGTACACCATGGCAAATCTCAGGCTGTGTGCACCCAGGAGGTGGTGGGCATCCTGAATGCCTACGGCTCCTATAGGAGTTTGGGTATAGGGTATTATGTGGTTATGGAGAGCAACCCGTGCCTTCTCACCTTTCAGCCGTGCAGATTCGGAGCTTATATGCTGTTTTTTACAATGTTTTCTTCTGACTGTCGAATATTGTGGAAGGAATTTTCATCCAAAATTGTGAGTTCTCTTTCTTGGTATTCTGGTGCTGAGGTCTCTTGAGAAGCTGGTGGTGGGAAGTTTGCTTTCTGCAGCTTAAAATTAATGCTAAGGGGATATCTCTACCAGGGAGAATGTTATGGAGTCTTGCTTCCTTGCTAGTTAGCAGTTTTAATTGAAAAAGCAGTCAGTAAGGGAATAATGTATTTGCGATGGCATCTTTCTTCTGAGGTTATGGGAAGTGCTATAATTAAGCTGCTAATTAAACCCCATGAAGTTAGTTATGATCCCTGGCAAAGGCACAGGGAAGTCATGAGCAAGGGTTTGCCCAGAGCCCAGGACCTGCTTCCTCTGAGTCGCATGTAGGGCCGAGTCCTCCCTCTCCTGTGTGCACGAAGTGGCGTTGTAGAAAACTCCTACTGAATCGCTCAGTATCTCAGGGTCAGGTATGGACAGAACTGACATATGCACAGGCAGGTAATGGGATCTCTTCAAAATGCAAATTGTTTTCTTGCTAATCTGGCTAATTTCTTCGACCCGATTTGCATCATAGCGTATGTTTTTCTTACTGCCTTTGCCTTGAAGTGATGTGCTGCAATGCAAATGGCCCCAAACCCACTGTCACCTTGCATTACCTTCCCCAAAATGATCTACCGCGCTGTGACTGATGCAGTCCGACTTGATGTCATAAAATGATGTCTCCCATGGGAAAGCAGAAGGAGCGCAGCTTCTCAGAACCCATCAATGTTTTAAAGAACAGCTTTCCTAGTGATGGGGTCCCAACCTCTTCCCTTTTCTGCTTACTAACCTGCCCCAGAAATGGGCTCTGTCGTGCAATGCTCATCCCTGCAGAGCTCTGAGCACCTCCAGCAGTTGGATGGGCTCTTCTTGAGTGTCAGAAGATCAAAGCTATTCTGAATCCCCGCTGGGTTTTTTTTTCTCTATAGCCCCTGTTGCTGGATTTTCACTCTTGTCTCCACGAAATTACGGACAGAGCCTTTCAGTGAGCAGATATCCCTGTTCTGGCAAAGGAGTGCTTTGACTCTGCTTATTTTCACGTTGTGTTTCTGCGGAGATAAGGACACGCAGAGATTTCAATCAGCGGTGCGTCTGCTCAGATCAAGCATATGAAATATAATAAAAGGGACAGATAGCGAGCAGCACGCAGTGAAGCTGTTGCAGGGGGCTGCTGCAGGTGCTGCAGTCAATAGTGACATTTTAATAGTAGCCCTCGCATTGATCTGCTTTGGTCTGATGGTTTTGGACACATTTCACACCTGGTAATTTGGAGCGGTAACTGCATGGAGAGGTGCATCCAGTCAGTTCCAGATGAATTTAAGTTAAAAAAACAAAAAACAATCCTGAGTCCGATGGTTGGTGGTTCTGCTTGCAGTCTTGAAGGTGAGCTAATAAATCCGCCCATATCTTTATCCATCCATATCTGTCTCACTGGAACGGGTTGCCCAAGGAGGCTGTGGATGCCCCATCCCTGCAGGCATTCAAGGCCAGGCTGGATGTGGTTCTGGGCAGCCTGGGCTGCTGGTTGGCGACCTGCACACAGCAGGGGGTTGGAACTGATGAGCACTGTGCTCCTTTTCAACCCAGGCCATTCTATGATTCTGTGATCAACTGGTCTAATAGTACATGGAAGGATACGTCTAGGGAGAGATGGAGGAACAAGAGGTATATGGGTATTGAACTACCCTACTAGTTCAACAGGCACAAATTTCTCTTTTTTTTTTTTTTTTTTTTTGCCATTTTCATTAAGCAACACAGAAGTTCTACAAGGGAAAAGCTATATTTGATATAGCTTGGCTGTACTTCAGACAGCCACATGCCTCATTTACAAAACATACAATGTACTGCTGGGGCTCGGGACAGCATAGGCTCAGTTCATTAATGGCAGGAGCAGTCTCCTCTCCCCACTAATGGCACTGAAGCTGTGTCTCCTCTGCCTGCTCTGCCTGCTGAGCACACAGGGCTTTTAAGAGACGGATGCTGATGGAAAGCTGAAATGAAATGCCTGGTGGATTTGTAATAGTCTGGCTCTTCCCTCTGCGTGCACTCCCTTCCTCTGGAGGATGGGGTTGGCCTTGTAAAAGCTTTACAGAGACCTGGCTCTTTAGCGGCTTTTTAGAGGAAGAGCCCTGGTAGCGCTAATGGCAGAAATGGTGGGGTTTGGAGATGTGACTTGCTTGTAAACTCACCAGGCTGGAGAATGGTCTGTTCATCTCTATTTGTGCATCACCTGCTCCCGTTTTCAGGTGTGAGTGTGCTGCAGTATGAAACATTCACTGGGATAAGAGCAAATTTGGGTCTGCACACACCATAAAATGGATGTAGCCATCATATGCATTTGGGTTCATGATGTGGTACAGAGCCAGGGCAGTCTGTTGGACTTTGGTACTAAGTGGTACTTGGGTGAAAATACTGATCATTTTCTTTCGTTCCAGGGGATGGCCAGGTTGATTTTGATGAATTTATGACTATTCTGGGACCTAAGCTGGTATCGTCGGAAGGCAGAGATGGCTTTCTGGGAAACACAATAGACAGCATATTCTGGCAGGTAAGTGGTGACTTTTTACAGTGCAACTTTATCCAACTATCAGTAGCTTGCAGAAGTGATTTGTTGGGGAGCACGGGATGTTTCCCTAAAGTGAATACTTAAGTAAACGTTACTTGGGTCCCCCTCACTGCGTGCTGTACATCACCATCCTCTGTTGCATCCAGTCAGTGTTTCTATGGTGAATTCAGGTCCAAGATTGAGGATTCAGGTCCAGGGCTGATGAGTCTGTTTTGTGCCAGTGCAAGGTTTACATGTGCTGCTGGGTTGGTTTGATGGTTTCAAGTGTCAGAAGAGAGGTGGGTTTGGCTGCAGGAGCTGCTGTGCATCTGTTGTGCATTGCGATTTTAAGCAGAATTAGAACTTTCTGGAAAAGCAAGGGCAGCTCAGGCTGTTATGGGGAGTGTTGAAAGTCTCCCAAGCCACAGTGCTGTGTGTTTCTTGCCAGTGGATTGAATGTGTGGTTTCCTCTGAGATTGCTGCTCATTTCATTGGTCACCCAACAACCTTTGCTTGCTAATAAACTTGGACTGCTACCAAGTTATGTGAGTCAGAAGAGTCAAACCTGGATATGAGCATTCCTGCCGTCTGTTGCTGCCCTCTGGCACTGTCCAAGCTGGACGGGTGGAGTTTTGTAAAAGTCTTTTAAACTCCTTTAAAACTTGTTCCTGGTCTCATGGTGTGTGATGTAAACAACCCTGGAAATTTGGGCCTGGATTCCAGTATTTGGTCGTCAAAGCAAGATTTTGGTGTTGGTGAAGCTGCAGAGGTTTGTGATATATCTGGGGGGATGTGAGGACTATGCTCACGCTACAGTGGAGCAGTCATGGTTGTTTTATTGCCTCTGTTGCATCTTGTGAGCCTCATCCCACTGTGTGAACAACAGGGAGAGAAGGAAGCACCAACCCATCCCACCAAACCAACGGTGCCTTCGAGACCCCACAGTGAGCCTGGCCTCCCTGGAGCTGCCAGTAAGCACAGACACCCCTCAAGGAAGTTGTTCTCATGAGTGAGGTATTTGATGGGGAAGCAGAGAGGTCATGAGCTCTGTTCATAGCTTCTGGGATAACCGTGCCATTCCACAGTCAGTCAGCCCGTGGAAATGTTTGTGTTGGCTTTGCATAGAGCTCCATGAAGAGTGGGTACCCCAGAAATCCAGCCCCACGGTGTGGGAACTGCTCTGGGCATTGCCTGCAGGCACCGAAGCTTTAATTGCAGGAGTGCCCCGAGACTTCCAGAAAGGTGTTTGTGGTCTTTTATGTGTAAGGGAAAAAATACGCACATCTCTTTCCATAACACACTCCTGGGTTTTGGAATCCTTGAAGGGAAGCCTTTGTCTCACTTTTGCTTCTCTTGGGATAGGAGGATGCATGGAGAACACAGTATTTTTTCCTGCTTATTCCCCTCCCCCCCCCCCCCCCCCCCAAAAAAAAAAAAAAAAAAAAAAAACAATGAAAAAAGCATGTAGGGAATAACATTCAAGGAACAGATTCCCTTTAACTCTTCCTGCCTGGCTTTACCCATGCCATCTGCTGGGCTCTCACTATATCTATAAGCAAAGAGTTGACACGTTGCATCTCCTCCAGTGGGCTTACATCTGATCTGAAGCCTTTCCAAAGCCAAGGCATGACTGTTTTGCCCTATGTCACCTCCATGTGTGTTTTTCACATTTCCTGGGAAAGAAACAGCTTGGAAAAGGGTTGACTTCACATTGATGCCACAGCACTTCAAGCCTGCAGTCAGCTCTGAAGAGGAGGTTTTGAGGAGGGGCCCTGAGTGACAGTGGCATCAAGACTGGGACAACAAGAGACAGCCTCACCTTGGGGACAGGTGTTGTGCCCTAAAACCTCACCCTAGAGCCACGGGCAGCAAAATGCATCCAGAAGAGGCTCGTATAGCAATCTTGGGAGGATAAAATCTGTGTTGGCATCCTCCCTCCAAGCAGCTCTGCTCCAGCTGTCACAATTTTGCCTCTTGGGGTTTCCTGTGCAGTGACACTTTTGTGCAGACTCTATTCCAAGTGTGCCTTAATGACACTTTAAGCCATGCAACGACAGAGTTGAATAGCAACCAGCAGCAGGAGAGAGAGACGAGTTGGAGGGCCTGATGGTGTGAGGTGGAGGGACGCAGGAAGGTGGGCCCTGATGGCAGAGGCTGCAGTGGGGACAGATCTCACAACAACAGCAGCAGGGCTGCAAGAGGCAGGGAGCAGGTGGAAGTGGTGGAAGAATGGGAAGGAGGAGGAGAGCGTGCATGGAAGAGGCTTGAAATAATAAAGGAATGGTGTGTCCATCCCAGTGCAAGCATTGCCCAAAGAGCAATGGGCAGCCAAGGAGAAACAGGGATGGGCTGAGGCCTGTCTTAGGGACATGGAGGGTCTCTCAGATGTATTCTCCCTCTGTGATTTCCCATGGGGACTCTGAATTGAGTCATGTCAGTGTGTTAGAGGTGGATAACTCCTGCTTTCTCAGGTAGCAGCGATCAGTTCTGCTCCAGTTAGAATGGCTCTCTGGGTCCCTCAGCCTGGCTGGCAGCTGTTTACAGGGAGGGAGGGGGTAATCATCCCTGCAAACACTGTTTCAGGCCAAGTCAATATAGACCCATGATATCAGGAGAGCTGAGGAAACATTGACTTTCTCTTATCACACGAAGTCTGCCTTTCCTGAGTGAGATGAAGCATGCACAAAGCACCATTCTGCATAGAGCATCCCCAGGTACTCTGTTTCAAAATGGTTTTCTTATCCTTGTGCTGACGGTGAAGAGAACTAAGAGGTACCCATACACTGACATCTTTAGCTGCCACTGGAAGCACCTTTTCTTAAAAGGGTAGAGAAAGACCTGGCCTCCTGCTGAGCACCAAGGTGTCTGTGAGGCAGCAATGTGCCCTTGGACAGAGAAGGCTGATGGTATCTTGGTACCTTGCAGAGTGTCTGTCCCCTTTCCTCTCTATCTTGTTCCCTCTGCATTGGTCAAGCATCCCTCGCCTTGCCACCCTCTCTGAGCTGCTCCTGGTGGACTTTACACTTGGTGCCTTGAAGCTGGTTGTTGCTGATGCATAGGCAGTGATATGCAGTGATGTGGTTGCTGCTGCATGCTCACTGAGACACTACTTGATTAATTTTGGGGCATGAGAATTTGTTTTCCCAGAGCTCTGGGAGTATATGAGAGCAGTTCCAGCTGGGTGCTCCTAGGGCTGTATTTTATACAGATGGGTTTCCAGTGCATGGCCATTCAGGTCTGCAAAGCACTTTAGATCAAGAGCGTTACGGAAAGTGCAAACATTGCTGCTGGTAAATATTAGCTCCTTTTTGGGCAAACAAAATCCAAATCTGTCCACCGTGTCCTGCCATTCTCAGAAAGCGAGAGGGATAAAAAGAGCAGGAAGTGAGCATTCATATTCATTTACAGTTTTTGCCTAGATTTTTTTGTAAGTGCAAAAACCTGCCAAATGTCTTTGAGGTCCTTGGTCAGATTAGATATTAGGAAAAAAAGTTTTCTCAGAAGGAGTGGTGCTGCAGTGGCACAGCTGCCCAGGGAGTGGTGGGGTCACCATCCCTGCAGGTGTTCCACAACCATGGGGATGTGGCACTGAGGGGCATGGCTGTGGCCATGGTGGGACGTGTTGGGGTTGGACTTGGTGGTCATTGAGATCTCCTACCTTCATGATCCTGTGATTCCATGACCTCCAGGAGGTGTGAAATAGTTTGCAGAGTACATAGTGTAGTGGATATACAGTCTTGGGGGGTAAGAAACAGGAACAGGAGTAATAATAATCTTGAATTTTAGACTTTTAATTAAAATAAAGCTCTGTGACTTGTCTGTAATGCACTTTGAAGGCAGAACAAATCTGAATGGTTAAAGAACCGGGCTCCATTTGCATTGGTTGCAGAACAAACTCTGTCCCCCGCAGCGCTGATGAGGTTGTTTTAGGAAGTCAATACTTTGCACGGGGATCATTTAAGAAGCAAACTGCTGCCTGCGATTTGTTTCTGTCTCCCTATGCACGTGGAAGCTACAGGGAACATCATTTCAGCTGGCGCTGACACATCGCCCCAGCAAGGATATCCAGAAGCTTTGTCTTGTGCTCGGGGCCGGCACTGTATCATCCGCTCGTCGCCTTTGATATCGCCCTGCATAATTTACTGGCTCTCAGAAGGAGGCTGCTTGTTTTGGGATAAATAAGTCTGCTTCTCAGGAGCAGGATGACCAGAATACCAACATGATGGTTCTGGCTGGGAGATACTGCTTGGAGATCTCCTTGGTTTTCCACTGCAGCACTGTCTTGCAGTTTTAGGGGGCTGGAGGAGGTGGGGGAGGGGACAGGTCCTGATGATTTCTGGGCTTGGGAAAACCTTTTCTCCAGTTTTCCATGAACTTTGGTGGGTGAATGAAGCCTCCCAAAGCTGCACCCCTCCCTCCCCATATGAGGAATGAGGACTAGCCAGGAATAGCCCAGAGACAGCACAGCACTTGCTCCATCTTGAGCATTTTATTCCCTGAATGCAGCAAACATAAAACAAGGGCCACGTGCAGCAGTGCAGGATTGCATCCAGCATTGGCTAGGGAGGGAGTGCAGGGAGCTGGCTGCAAACATGGCAGAGCAGGGGGACGTGATGGGATGGGACAAAGAGGTCTTGTCCTCCCAGCACGGCTGCTGATGCTTAATGACTTGCTGGGAACTGCCCACCCGTAATCTGTTTTCAGTTGTCACTGCAAATGTAACAGCATCCCGGGGGAGAGATCTGGGCTCTCATGATCTGGTCAATCAATTAGGGCTTTAATAGAGTGAAATGAAGGAGAAAATGTGTGGGAACCTCGATGGCACAGGGCAGGGTATGGAGATGCTTGGCAGGCAGTGGTGTGGGAGGGAAGGCAAGGAACAAGTCTGTGTCAGAGTGAGCAGAGTGTGCCTCTGGCTGGAGCGTGGCTCTCTGCGAAGATGGCTTTGTGTGGAGAAGGTTTTTTTCACCTGAAGTCCAGCAGTTGTTATGAACACCTAATGC